TGACAAGGTGCCAACTAATAGACTGCTATTGAAGTTGGAAAACCTCGGTATTGCCGGACCTCTTTTAAAATGGATTACGGATTATCTAGTAGGTCGTGCACAAAAAGTAAGAATAAATTCCAAGTGTTCCATCTGGAGACCAGTACTTAGTGGAGTACCCCAAGGTTCTGTCCTAGGTCCTTTACCTTTTATAATGTACGTTAATGATCTTCAAGTATAGTATAGTCTCCAATGTTATTATACGCTGACAATGTAAAAATTTGGCGAGTAGCAACTGGAGACAAAGACGCATTTACTCTTCAGGCGGACTTAAATAATATGATAAACTGGTCTAAAGAGTGGCTAATGCCTATCAACTCGGAAAAGTGTGTCTACATGCACTTGGGGGACTCAAAGGTTAATACGTACAACAATGAGGATATGTCATTACCCGTAGTCCGGTCTCATAAGGACCTAGGGGTGACAGTGAGTAATGATCTTAAGACAACGGCCCATTGCCGGGAGGTCGTGGCTAAGGGGTTTCGAACCTTCTGGCTTTGAAAAGGACATTCATTAAGTTAGATACTGTCATGTTCACCACAGAATACACATCCTCAGTGAGAACTAAGCTAGGGAACTGCATTTAAAAGGTGACTCGGACATACTAGAAAAAGTACAAAGGGCAGCTACTAGTGCACTTCCGGAGGTGGGTTTGTTATCTCATTGAAACTCTTTTAGTGGTAAATAAATCCACAAAATAATTAGCTTTGTAAGTTTTCGACATTGGATGCTGACCACATTAGCTTTAATGGACTCACCTAGCTGAAGACGCTCGGTTATGCATCCGCACCAGATCACGAGTGGAAACGCCGTGCTCTACAAATCATACAATCGCTAGCCCGAATAAATCAGACGATCTTCGATATATTTATAGCCTATCAAATATATCTTCGAACCTCCTCGCTTCTGTATTTTGATTTCACTTCGCGGGTACCTTTCGTATAAGAAGGTGTTACTGGTTAAAGCGTTGTCAAATTCCGAATACCTGTGGCATCTTTATGCTGACACTTCAGGAGGATCTGAATCGACTTCAGAGTTCAGCAAACATAAACGGACTTACCTCAAACTCTTCAAAGTGTAAAGTAGTTTATCTGAGACACGTTGCAGACTACGAATACAGCGTAGTTAACTCCCCTCTAGAGGTAGCCCTAGTTGGAAAGATCTAGAAATGTTGATACCCTGTGATCTGAAGTTTTATACTAACTGTGATAAAATGCGTTTGAAGCAAACTTTACATTCGTAACATTGTAGCGCATTTTCCGCCAATTCGACGAGGAAGTTTCCGCCTAATCTTCAACTGAATTATTCTACTCCTCCTAGAGCATGAAAATCCAGTGTTACTTCCTTTATTTCAGAAGATTAAAAACAAGAAATCAGTTTAGGGACTCGAATTCAGGTCTTTTGAAGAGCGCCCTCAATCACTGAACCTTAACACAATGGAATACTGATGTCTCAGAGGTGACCTTTTAATGACACACATTCTTCTCCTTAACAGTAGTCAAACGTTAGAATTCGTGCCAACTTAGCTGGTCTAAGCGACTTTCTGAGAGTCCTGTAAGAGAAAACTTGGCATATTCTTAAGGACTACCGACATTACCACATTATAATTTATTAATTCTTTCATTCTCTTTCATCGTAAATATACCTAGATTCTTACTTGTTGGCATTTGTGGTCCGTCGCTCCTAGATACCGAATCTCGTTAGGCTGAAGCTTCTTCTGTTCCATGCAGAACCATTTGAACCATTCGAAATTCATCCACTTTCTAAGTTCAGTTTTTGATAATTTGCGGTACTTATAGCAACTTAGGATCAAGTGAAGTTTACTTTCATGTTCGGATTTTGGGCAGCTTACTAATCTTTATCTTAAGATGTAAACTTACATGTAGATTAGAAAATAACATTTAGTCACTATCAATCTATAACGTAATGTGCTGGGAAAATTTACAAGCCTTCGACATTTAAATGTTGAGGACTCGTGTAAAAAAAGAAATATTTCATGGATTTTTATTTAGTCTTTCGTTGTATGTCAGTCTATCCTATCTGAAAGATTTATCCAGCAATCTGAAAATTTTAATCATGAGCAAATTTTAGGAAAGACTAATTAAAAAACCTTGAAAAACCCTAGAAAAAAATGTGACAAAATATCTACACACGATTTGCACTTTTAAGAAATGCAAGCGAATATATTGAGAAGACCCTTGAATTGTTTTTTATTTTGAGAAAACCTCAAAACGTTTCTAAACTAGAAAAATATGTCAAGTTCTTACTGGAAAGATGCTCTTTTTCGTACTACTCGTAATTGAAATCTCGTCGTTTCGCAGTCCTAATTCCCTTAGAAAACTAGTCGTCTACCAGTCACCATAAAAAATCTGCTTGTTGCAGATCCCACTACATAATGCTATTAACATACTTGAGTTAAAATGTCGTTTGACGATAAACAAATGAGTCAACGGTTCTTGAAAGGTAATATACGGATTCACAATTAAAGATTGTCTATGTTATCGAAGCAGTCCTGTTTGTAAACACTTGCAACGTTTATTATTATATCTATGCATCGCCATCATTAGACGACATTGTAAGTGATCACGTGCGCTACATTATAACGGAAATATGTACGACATTTGACATTTTTCCATCTTACATGTTAGTATCATTTGGGAGTAGGTGTGTATGATTTTCTTACATTTATTCAAACTTGCGTCTATACAGTTCTTTAAAAAATAAAAACATCCTATGATATCATATAAACTCTACATAAGTACTGGTCTAATTATATGCGTTTAGAAAGACACGCCATTTAAATGGAAGAGTGAAAACTAATCAGACGTATATAAGGTACGAAAGGTCATTTGGAGCAGTTTGTTTGGAATTAATAACTTACAGTGATATCAGTATTTTTGAAACCAGCCTCAAAGTGAAAATGTACAGTGATTAGTAATTTCAACACAAACCTTAGAACTAAATATATGCGGTAAACAAACTTTATTGTACTATTCCCACATTTTCATTAGATTGTCTTTGGGCGCTTATGTACTTGATGTAGCGTTGTTCAGGAAAGCCTGATTCACAACATTCATCATTTGTCTGATGTCTTTTTAGAGCAAAAAGCACTTTGAAACCATTAACATAAACGTACAACCAATAATGTTTGGTCTAACTGTGACTTGGTTGATTGTTCTGTAAAATCTATGATAACTTATACCCAATTTCCTTCTAGCTCCATAGTGAGTATAAGTAATTGTTAGTTCGGCCGTTATAAAGTAAACAAAAATCGACTGTACACTTACGAAGATCATTTCTGATTATCACATACAGTTAAATCACCTCAATCACAACAAACAACATTTGGAACCTACGAACTAGTCACTGGACTTTCGTTCTTGTGGTGCAGCTTCCAATGTACCTAGTCAAGTGTCTGGAATAGAAATTCCAAGCTAAAGAAATCCACACTGCATATATTATTGTCTTTGATAACGATAGGTGAACATGCAATGTATAAGGTCAATCTAATAATCTGATTAGACAGAACATTGATGGCTTACCACATTTTATAGAAGTTTGCGTTGCAAGTGTGATACCTGCGGGGATAAAAATAACTGTTGATGTAACTAACTTATTTACAACACCTCTTGACGTAGTTGATCTGGTGACGGGAGGACTTCTGTTTTGGAAAAACTGGTTTGTAAGCTTGTATTAAATGCACACTTTGATATCGAGTAAAAATTCTCAGTCCAGTTGCTAACACTGAGAAATTAAATGGAATACATCCAGCCTCCATTTCCACAGCACTCAACGCTTCACTGTAAATGTACATGACTGATTACTAAACATTTAAAGATAAACTCACTAATAGAAACGAACGGCTCGGTGGTATAATGACTACGGTTTGTGTAGGGTCGGGATTTGATTATTCTCACCTCTCTAATTTGTGTGATCAAGCCAGGGTCGGCGTTTGGTGTTATTATGTTATAAGGCCTAACATTAGCATACTTCGAGTGATGGATTCTTTCTGGAAATCATAAACAACGAGATAAGTTTCCGATGTTGTAAGTATTTACAAACAGGACTGCTTCGATAACATAGACAATCTTTAATTGTGAATCCGTATATTACCTTTCAAGAACCGTTGACTCATTTGTTTATCGTCAAACGACATTTTAACTCAAGTATGTTAATAGCATTATGTAGTGGGATCTGCAACAAGCAGATTTTTTATGGTGACTGGTAGACGACTAGTTTTCTAAGGGAATTAGGACTGCGAAACGACGAGATTTCAATTACGAGTAGTACGAAAAAGAGCATCTTTCCAGTAAGAACTTGACATATTTTTCTAGTTTAGAAACGTTTCGGGATTTCCTCAAAGTTTTCGTTAGCATACATTGTGATGACAAATTGCCAATGAACCTCTTAGTCTACGGAGTTGGATATTGCCTCTGTTATTGGAAATCAGTAATTTTAAATATATTCCAAAACCAGACATATCTGAAACTAACCTTGGTTTCCTAATCGCGAACCTCATTTAAGCAGCACAATTTTTGAGGCTTACTTCCTAGACTCTATATTAATCAAACGGATTCCTTTATGATTATCACAGGATGTTTGTCTTTTGTTATAAATTGGAACGATTAGTCATCAAGACCGGTCGAATGAGATTACTTTCAGCTCCTAGACTGTAGCTATTGTTTCAGTAAACCTAATCACTGAGACGGAGTCGCCATCTTTCATGACATCCAGTCGGCACCACCATTTATACTCACTACAGAATAGGTATAACATTTTCAAATTTATGATTCGGTTCTTCTAAAAATGCATTTATTGAGATTTTAATTGTTCTAATCGACAAGCTGAATACTGAGAAGTATTTGTTTCTTAAACCAGTGATTTTTAAATGTGGTGAATGCAGCACTTAAGTTCTCAAATATCCCTATTTTCTTTCAGTAACCATTTTATGTTAAACAAAAATGTCCACGAAGAAAGATTGGTTACCAAAACGTATTTGTGTTCCGCGAAAGAGGTAACTCTTCTCTTTTAATAATTTTTAGTGTTTCAATTAATGACTCTTCATCTTGGATCTGTTCTTTCGGTCCTACAAATAGTTTACGATCTAAACGGTCATTCAGCCGTGTTGCACCCGATTCGAGGATCGTAATCAATACAAAAAGTCAAGAAGATGAAGGTTACATAAATATTTCGCCGACGTCATCGCCAGAGGGAGAGACCTTTGAGTTAGGCCATCAACTATTAAGCATCGAAAATTTAGATGAACCCCTTGTTAGTGAAGTTTGCCTATTCATTTTTAATCTTTCCATGAAAGTTGATCAGTTGTACTTCCTAACTGTATTTTTGTTTCCATAAAACGTCCAGCAGTATTCATATACTACACAGCCGATATTGAAATGTATAAAATGATCATCCTTTTAGGCTCATAATAAGGAAAATTAATCGATTGTTGTAGTTAAAAGGTTAGGAATAGAGATTGTCTTAAGACAGCGCTGAGGTATTGAGTGATTTGTTTAATGCTTTTGGTGTTTCCTTTCCTCACACAAAACGTCTTGAGATACTATCTTGTGAGGGATGTACGCGAATGAAAATCTGTAAGACATATAGGGCTTGGTTTTTGTGCTGTTTGACAGTGTTAACATGTAAGAAATATTATCACTAACTTATACTACCTATCAGAGTAAGTATAGTGTCGATTCGGTTACCAAAGGTTGAGTATACCAGATAACATTCCGGGTACACTATCTTACAGCTATAACGCGTGGTTTTTTAAAGACTTAAAATTACTTGCCTCTTATTTACCTACACCTGTTGGCCGCTGACCAGCATTTTCTATCCCACTTTGTCCTTCTTTTTTAGTACCGCACAATCGTTGTTCATTCTTCTCATGCTTGTCTCCATTTTTCGGTGTAATGTGTTCTTTGGTCTTCCCCTTCTCCTTTGGCCTTGAAGATCCCATGTGAGAGCTTGCCTTGTGACGCAATTGGGTTCTCTCCCCAATGTGTGTCCTAACCATTTCCAGCGCTTCTTCCTGATTTCTTCCTCCGCTGGGATTTGGTTTGTTCTCTCCCACAGTAGATTGTTGCTGATAGTGTCTGGCCAACAGATCCGAAGTTTTTTGCGTAGACAAGCGGACTGAGTCATGTTGGTAGGTGTAGACTACCTGGTTGGGGACCGCAAGATGATAGCAACCGATGGCTAAAGACCCTGAATGACATGGCTCAAAATCGTTTGCAATGGCGCAAGTGCATCCACGTTTTGTGCTCTCTCAAATTCTAATCTCCTGATTCCTCCTTGTCACTTTTTTCTCTTCCCAAATTTATTTCACTGTATTATACTCCTTCAATAACATCTTCAAACCCTAATCTTTCCGATTACTGCTTATACTCTTACTACCTCTACCACTATCGGGTTTGAATCGACAACTGCATCTCTGTGCTAATGTGGTATGACAAATCGAACTGATGTACGTACGTACGAAGTTCTACGTTGTTACTGACTGACTGACTGCGTAGACAACTATTAATCAACACTTGTATCTTCTGGATGATGGCTTTCGTAGTTCTCCAAGTTTCCGCCCCATATAGTAGAACTGTTTTGACATTTGTATTGAGAATTCTGACTTTGGTATCAGTTGACAGTTGTTTTGAGTTCCAGATGTTCTTCAGTTGTAGATATGCTGCTCTTGGTTTGCCGATCCGCCTCTTTACATCTGCATCAGATCCACTGTGTTCATCAATGATGCTGCCCAGATATGTAAGGGCTTTTACATCTTTCAAAGCTTCTCCGTCAAGTATGATTCGATTGTTGCATGCTGTGTTGTATCTGAGAATCTTGCTTTTCCCTTTGTGAATGTTGAGACCTACTGCTGTTGCTACACTGGTCGCCTTCTCCTGCGTTTGTTGTTGCGTGTGCGATAGAAGAGCCAGATCATTTGCGAAGTCTAGATCGTCCAGCTGCATTATAGTTGTCCACTTTATCCCATGCTTCCCCTCAGATATTGACGTTTTTATGATTCAGTCGATCAGCAGGAGAAAGAGAAGGGGTGAGAGTAAGCAGCCTTGCCTGACACCGGTCTTTACCTTGAACAAGTCTGTTAATTGTCCTCAATGCACGATTTTGCGGTTTAATCCATCATAGGAATTCCTGATGATATTCACTATTTCCGTAGGCACGCTGTAGTGTTGAAGAGAAGCCTCCATAATGTTGTCCTATCCACAAAGTCAAATGCCTTCTCGTAGTCAATGAAGTTGATGTAGAGTGATGAATTCCATTCAATTGATTGTTCCACAATGATTCGTAGTGTTGTGATTTGGTCTGTACACGACTGATCCTTACGGAATCCTGCCTGTTGGTCTCGAAGTTGGGGTCTACGGATTCCTTCATCATGTTTAACAATACTCTGTTGAAGACTTTTCCCGGTATTGAGAGAAGAGTGATGCCCCTGTAGTTACCACACTTGCTGAGATCTCCTTTCTTCGGTATTTTGATCAGGAGTCCTTCTTTCCAGTCTGTTGGTACTTGTTCCTCATCCCAAATCTTATTGAACAGAATGTGGAGTATCCTTGCAGTTGCCGCTACGTCTGCTTTTAGTGCCTCTGCTGGGATGTTGTCCGGTCCTGCTGCTTTGACACTCTTGATTTGTCTGATGGCCATGCTGATTTTTTTCAATTGTTGGTGGGCCAACATTGGTTGGGAGGTCCGTGGGTACTGCTTCGGTGTTGGGTGTGTTCAGTGGAGCTGGTCGATTCAAGAGTTCTTTGAAGTGTTCTACCCACCTGTTTCGTTGCTTTTCAATGTTGTTGATTACCTCGCCTTCCTTGCTTTTCACTGGTCGTTCTGGTTTGCGGCGATTTCCAGAGAGTTTCTTTGTTGTATCGTACAATTGTCTCATGTTTCCGTCGCTTGCAGCCTTTTCAGCCGTCATTGTTAGATCATTTAGTTGATTCATCTTTTTTCGCGTGGTCTGATAGATTGAATCTTTGTCGATCTGTCTATTGACTGAACTAAAATTTTCATCAAATGTCCGAAATTGACTTTACAATTTGGATATTAGAAGAGATATAAAATCAGTCAATCATATTCTTTCTAATGGCATTAGCCTTTGCAAAGTTACATCTGTTTATTAAACCTACCGACACCATAGATCCAGATAAACGACAAGAAGTCATGGTGCAGCAATTCACACTTCGTTTTTCTGCTCTTTAGTAAACCTTTTTAACAAAGTAAGGATTTATGACACAAGTATTCCGGTCGGTATGATGACAAGTGAATGTCCTTACTTTGTCGAGGTTGTAGTTTTCTGCTAAGTGTGTATACATTTAGTTAGCTTGCACCATGTTTGCAACTATCGACATTTTGCTTGACCGACTTAACATATTGGATGTATTGTAATATGGGTGTGAGCAGTCCAAAGTAATCAGCTTAATGTTTTTGGAACCACGAGACATAAAAAGAATTTTAATTGCATGTATATTACATTTTTGAAAATGTCATCTGTGCGTTTTGTTTGAAGTAGTGTGAACATACAGATATTTCATGTATTTAGTTTTTACCTAAAAATCTCAAGTCAATGTTCATTGATTGTTTTTGTTTCTTATTCCAGTCACCGAATGAGTTCCAGCAGATCCAGAATTTGATTTCCGGTAACTGTTCGTCTTCAGTTTCCTCTCAAAATGAAAATGCTGTAATTTGTGAGTACTCTCAGCCAAGTTCTGTGACTGAAGTTGTCAATCAGAATGAATTCACAAATCTCGATGAATCTAACTTTGATTCCTTATGTTATCTTACTGAGTTGCAACGAGATTGTTCAGAGCTCCCTTATACAAATCTGACTGTCAAATCTCTTCCTCGTCGAATATCTTCGTACGTATTGCATTTACATTGTGCATCTATTTGAAAATGACTATTTGTCAGTAACATACTTGTGTCGTACTTAAATTGATTTTTTTGAAGAGTTATTGACAACGTTGGTCGCCACCAGGGGGTGTGTTACAGTTTCTTCAGTAATAGTGGTCAAAATTTAAGGATACACTTAGTGCTTTGTTGATATTCAGAGATAAGATGAGGATTGTACATTGTCAACAGTTTCTATTGACATCTAAGATATAAAGGTATATCAGCTTATTTATCCGCTTAGAAATGTGAGTCTAGTCATTTTTGTTAGCCTGACGGCAATAATCAAGCTAGTATGATAAAACCAGAGTGTAAATATCTTAAAAGCTTTGAAGCTTCTGGAGTAAAGATTTTTTCGTTACTTTAGGGGTTGAATTTTCTCAAAAATCCACGATTGCATGCATCCGAATGTATAAAATGAATACATTTATAAAGTTATCTAAAGAATATTGTTTCTTCGTTTCAGTCAAATTTTTACAATTATCAAAATATCATTATTTTTTAGTTTTTCTATTGCTGTAATACTCGCTAGTTTGAGATATCCTCTACTAAAATTGATTCTTATATCAAAACATCCGTTAGGTTAACGAACAGTATTTAATGTCATTAATAGGAAATGTGCTATTAAGTAGTTTTAGTAGAATGCTAATTTGTAGTGAATAGTTTTATTTTTATTTTTACTTATATTATATTTATAATCAGTCAGTCAGTCAGTAACAACGTAGAACTTCGTACGTACGTACATCAGTTCGATTTGTCATACCACATTAGCACAGAGATGCAGTTGTCGATTCAAACCCGATAGTGGTAGAGGTAGTAAGAGTATAAGCAGTAATCGGAAAGATTAGGGTTTGAAGATGTTATTGAAGGAGTATAATACAGTGAAATAAATTTGGGAAGAGAAAAAAGTGACAAGGAGGAATCAGGAGATTAGAATTTGAGAGAGCACAAAACGTGGATGCACTTGCGCCATTGAGATGGTGGATGATGTCGTTCAGAAGAACGATGAAAGCTCCACGACCAAACCATCCAGCTCAGAGAACAAAACTCCACCAAAACTTGCGCCATTGCAAATGATTTTGAGCCATGTCATTCAGGGTCTCTAGCCATCGGTTGCTATCATCTTGCGGTCACCAACCAGGTAGTCTACACCTACCAACATGGCTCAGTCCATTTGTCAGTGACTTCATGGACTTGTGCCATGTTTTGGTTTGGCCGCATCTAGCTTTCTTCCAACCTACTCCTATGCCACTAAACATAGCACGTCGAGGTAGTCGGTCGTTGGGCATACGTAACACGTGTCCCAGCCATCCCAACTGATGAAGTTTCACTACTTCATCAATGGATTTGCCATCCCTGCCTAGTACCCGTTTCCTAACAACCGCGTTACTTACTCGATGGTTCCAGGATATACGAGCAATGTTTCGAAGGCACCTATGATCGAATACTAGTAACCTACGGATATCCTCTACTCTTACCGGCCATGTTTCACTGTCTTATATTTACAATAATTTAATATTGATGGCCGTTGGGTATTGTTATCGTTTACCACCATTTTCCAATTACTTTCTATTATTATATTACGAAAGTATATTTTAATATACTAACAGTTTTGATATGGTTTGTGTTTAGGAATAGTATATTGCGAAAACTCCACTATTTGGTCAAACGTAACTCTTCAGAACGTTCTATCTGGTTGCATCAACGTTCAACTCAAAATATCCTTGGTAATTTCTATGCATGGTTTATTATACTTATCAAATTATGAAGTCGTAAAGGGTTGGTTTAAATTAACCAAGAAGAAAATGAAATATGAGTCATGGTTATTTAATATTTTCACAATAGAATGCTCGCAGCTTTTGTAACTTTCTGAAAATTCCAAGTTTAAGACTCTGAAATACCTCTCAGTAGGTGTACGAATATTCATCGAGCAAAAGTTTATGCTTTTTAAAATCCGTTTTAAGGTTTTAAAACAAATTTGTTATCTATAGCAAGTCTTAGCATAGTGCCTTGATTATTTGTATATACAAATCCCAAGTTTGTCAGTTACCCTTTCGTATTTTTAGTCTTTTGATTAGATAATGTGTCAAGTAAAAAGACAGTTACTTGGTTTGTTTCCCATCCTTTCTTCTCTCAGCACACCTAGTCATGGTATAATTTTGTGTTGAGTATTCGATTATCTTATAGGTGATTAGGGTTTACAATGCGGCCCCAAAACACTTCCTTGAATGGTCTAACTAGGGCAACCATTTTTCATTATCAGCAACTAATCTTCCCCCTCCTTAATAACTGGTATGATTTGGCTAAAAGTGCTATTGCACACTTGTTTTCATCTTTTCCATTCCGTTTTTAGATTGGTCACCCAGATGTTGTTTTAATTGCAGTATCTCACAGGTTTTAAACTTAATGGTCCATTGATTTAATAAGTAACTCACAAGATATTTGGTCAGTTCCTCCCAGTTTTAATCTTAACTTGCTTAGTTCTTGACATATCATGCGATTGTAGCTCTGAACCATTCTGAGATGCAAGTACATGCAGTCGACAATTACAAAATAGGACAAGACGCGCTTCCTGGGTTCCACTGCTAGCAATTCGATATGAACCTGGAACCTTATATGAGCATCTGTATTGTCTCAACAATTATTGAGGCCGATACTTACTAATATGCCAACATCATTTCACTGGCTTGGTCAATCATGTTGGAGATATGTGGCATTCGAGGTCTCTGTTATTTTGCTCTACCTTCTAACTCAACATTTCTGCCAAACGTCCACACACCACATATTTAGAATTGAATGTAATGAACCCTTCTCACTTAGTGTTTAAATAATGTATTTATGAATTGTAACTGCAGCTTTATTCAGTAAGACTTTCCAGCTTGAAATTTTTACACTTTAATGTAAAATGATTCTGTTGATTGATGATATAATTACCGGAGAATCATTTTTCATCAATTAACCACAAATTATTGTATGACATTCGAGTAACCTTCGGTTGTTTCTTAAGAATACTACATCCTTTCTTTTTTTTTCTCATATTTTGTCCTTACCATTGACTTCATTGTTACTTCGTATAGTCATTTAAGCCCTTTCTAAAGCGTTTGTATTGGTTTGCCTGTTATAACCCCACATGAGTTTATTCTGTTTCTAGGTAGCCTAATTATTTTGATGTTACTAATTATTCTGTACAGATTGGTTCGTTAATTATTCAATTTTAACCTCGATTGTTTCCTTATACATATATGTATCTACTTGTATTTTTTACACCGTTTGTAAGCTAGAGTCACTCTTAATTTTCTCGAATTCGCTGTACTACGGAACTCCAACGCTGTACATATCTGCCTGCGTTTCTTACGGTTTTCTACTGCCTAATATTCACATATATGAAATATCCGTCCCCAAAATACTCATACTCGACTTCATATAACTTTTCATGAACGTATGTACGAAATAAGTAGTCATTATGTATGTCGTTAGCACTATTCATTGGGCTCATCATGAATTCAGCAAGGTGACACGAGTTTACGTATAATTGCTCACTTTAGAAATTAATTTAGAGAAATTCGATTTTAACAATTAATTCTGTTCTCTTTTTCTTATAGATTCTACTAAGCATGCTTCGAAAACTTTTCAAATTCTTAGAGTATTTCGTAATTATTCAGATAGTTTGCCTGGATTAGTGGCATTCGGTGTGCGTGAAGTTGTAACACCTTTAGAAAATAAAACTGAAATATCTAATGCTAATGAAAATGTATCAAACAAATTCGCGATCCTCCTTCTACCTATTTCTGGTGTCCCTTTTGTTACAGAAGAGTTGTTTTCATCCGCTGCAACAAATTTCGTTTTAGGCAATGATTTAAAATGTGGGGATCTTGTTATGGTATTTAGTCCATGGTAGGTTATTCTACTGTATAGTTAATTTCGATAAATTGATTTTATTTATATTTTCCAAAAAAGTTTGATTTTCATCATACTAACTTTCCCATGAATTTCTATTAAAAATAAAGATTTTATCTTAATTTTGAAGTGATAAGATAGATAGACTGAATAAAAAAGGAGTGATCATCTTAGATGCCAGTGACCACCATGAAATAAACTTGTACCATCCAAATTTCAAAACCCCTTCAAAAGGCTGGAAGCCAGTATGAAATACCACTTCATAAGATTGGTGAAATTCACATAGATTTGTTGTTCTGACCACATTTTGACATGTGACAACATTGATTTCGAACGTAGAGAGTGAAGTTCATGTACACGATAACGATTAAAATCTGTAGTTATATAGTAATTTCCAGCAAATGTCAAAATCGAACGGGATCATAAATCAGTTTATAATAAAACTTCTTACTCGTTTCTCTGCCTACATTTAGACATTCATCTAGGTCGATGTATATTTTTACATTTTAAGAATTGAGTCAAAGTTTCCGTGTTTTGTGGATAACTTTAAACCCTAGATCATTCTGTATCATTCATCTAAATAAATTATGGTCATTGTTGAAGGTACTGTATTCAAAATGTAATGTACGAGAAAGAAAATCAGTAGTATTGTCGCATATCAACTTAAGGTGATTTTCGCTCAGTCAGTTTAAGCTCATTTTCGTAAATGCTATTAATTGACTTCCAGCTTATGGCAGTTGTACTTAATGCATTTTCTTTGTGCTGATTATTTCACTATGATTTTGTGTTCAGTTGCAATTACCCAGTAAATAGAACTGTATAATTAATAATAACTGAATCAATATATAATTGAAATGGCTTTAGTCTCGTTCAATAAGATTGATCTTTTTGAGTTGCTAGGGAACTTGAAGCTAGCAGCGCTAGTTTTTATGGTATCGCAGTTGTCGTTGGAGTTATTACCAGATCTTTTGGATCCGTGACAGTTGTATAGAGAAATAAATGCTGCAGGAGACATGACCATATTTATAATCGGTAAGCCATACATTATGTTGCTTGGTACCAATTACAGAATCGAAACATAATCTATGATAATTCGGTTATTTATTTACTTATAAGTTTTCGGTGTATGGAAATAATAGTATTTTATACTAATAATGAGAGACGTAAAAGGACTTTATAATCATATTTTTTTATCTTAAGGATATCTACATCCTTCTAGATGGATCTTTTTTAACAGTTCAGTTCTGATTTTGCCTTTCTATTGTAATTTATGGGAGCGTTTATCTGTTTTCTTTCTGGTGGTAGGTTAACATATCCTTCTCATGAATTCAATAGTTTGCCTGTGATGTATTCATTCTTCTGGGTTGAACGTTTAAGACATGAGGTTTTAAGTGATGTAGAAAATGATTTTCCTAATTCCCAAATAATCCCTCATAAACCTGAACTAATTACTTGTTCATGTTTAATATCATGTAAGTTGTTTGTATTTGTTTGTCAATCTATAAATGTTGGCTCTATCTACTTGCTAATTAGCAACGAAAATAGATAGTCTTTAATTCAAAGTCCTTTATTAGCACTCTTATGGCATATATAAGTTGGACTTTTCAAATCTTAAGTTAATTGATTCAATTCATATCCAATAAATACCATGATCTGAACACTGGCCCTATAGTTAAAGCATTCAAATTTTGACTATTAGGTTTTACAGCTTCAAATCCTGCTCCACCTAATTCAGTCTGGATAACCGAATGATGTTAGTGGATCTTCCATTAAAATATTCATACTCAAAGTTTCGTATATATTGATATGGTGGAGAAGATTTGTAGCTCAAGTGAATGATTTTGATGGGGTTTTGTTCTCCAGCTCAAAGCTTCGTATATATCTCTGTATTTATTCATTATTGCATAGTATGGTCAAATAGACTTGGAATTTTCTAGGTTTTTACTTCTGCTGTGACTTATAAGTTGTTGAATCATAAATTTATGATTACAGCAGTTGTTTGTGCCTTTTTCAAAGCGCAACAATTTTGTATACGTTCACGTGGTATTGTTTACTTGAATCGTCCCATTGATGTTTAGAACTACAATTGATTAGTCCTTTATTGGCATATGTATATACTGTGCGTATTGCCACTGCACAAGCAATCGGCTAACAGGACTCAGTAGGTAAGTGGATAACGCGATGACGTTTGAAGCGAACAGCAATGGGTCCGAGTCCCATAGTGAACGTCAATTCTGGAATGCGGGCGCATCCAGCTAACGAGTCCCAAATGGGACGAAACGTGCGTCCTGAATTCCGCTGCTAGCCGCTGTCCATCTTTGTTCGTAAAAGATTAATAGTATAAGTAACTCTAGAAAACACATAGAGTGAGTGAAATCATCTTGTAATCTTAAACATTAATTTAGATTTATAACTGTAGAACATGGGAGTTTATTGAAAAGTTTATTTTTTGTTTAGTTTATACTTATTTCTATTTTAATAAAATGAGAATTTCTTTCTTAGCACTCATGTTTTTTCCTCTTAAAACTCCATCATATAACCTACTTTATTTCTCTTTTGTTTATTTTCTGTGTAGGTGATCCATTTATTGTTTTGAATTGTCCAAAACGTTTTAAAGTAAGCTGATTAGACGTTTTTCGCTAGTATTATTCTCTGATTAGGTAGTTTGAAACAGTGTTTATTGTCGTTAGTGTGTGGTTTTGAACTTTCCCATAATATATAATATAAAACACCCACGCTATTGTTTATGTCATTCATAGATTCCCATACATATACTTTAATAATTATTTCTCTCCTCTCTATCACTTTTTCTTTTTTCTAATCATGAATATTAGGGCTACATATTTATTTAAATCCAAATTATTGAATAACTTACTGAATTGTTCCACATTTATCTTTGTATGCATTTGTCTACACATTAGAATTGAGTCAGTATAGTAGGCAGTTCGTTATGATTTCTGTGTAGGAGGTAAACTTTACATAATGCACCCTTCTCAAAATATTGTAATATGATGCACTTCTTATATGTAACCACATAAAGAAATATGGTTGATTGTGTGTCTCATGTTTTCCTTATGATTGGAAATGTTAAGTAACGGATACTCATCGTGCACATACATCCAATCTAAAAAGTTTATACTGGTCTATTTCACTCCAGTGTTTTTATTGTTATAATTGGTTTTTGTCAGTTATCACTTAATACAGTGATTTGGATTTTCGTTTAACTGAATACCAAGTTAACTAGGTTTTTCCCCACCATCTTCGAATTCCATTTGTATAGTAATTCTTACACAAAGCTTTAAGAAATTTTAGCCAAAATAGTCGTCAGTTTTTAAATATCAATTGAGAATGCATCGAACTTGAAAATATTGAAACTATTTGTAAACAGAATTTAGTTCATTTCGGAGTACCTGCTTGTTCATCCTTCATGCAGCCGAATCGTAGATAGGACTGATCTTCATGGACGACTCCCTTGTGAAAATCATTATATATGAAATTAATTTAGCCACAATTGAGACAGTTAATCACTGACGATTTCGATTGGGTACCATCACAATGAATCGCGGTTAGTCTGTACATATGAATTTCGAAACATTGGGTACTTAATCTGTAAAAAGTCTCAAATCAATTTATGATTCAATCTTTTCTATCCTTCTATAGACATGTTTTCCATATAACTATAAATACGAATGTACAGCTTAAGTAAATGATCTCGTCGAAAAGAAAATTTTCTTCTCTGGATACTCTTTTTCTTATTTATTGACACAATAGGTCATTTTAAGTATCATTTTCATTATGAGATTTGAGGAGTCTGGATGACTAGCATTCCCTGACAGTTGTAAACTAAGATGAAACAATTATTCCATGCTCTCAAAATTTTAATGGTTCTGCAGCTCATGCCACTTAGTGGCGGCACTATATTTTGAGACCATTTAGAAATTAATAACTTTTAAATTTACGTCGAAAACTAATACAAATAGTATTAACACTGTGGATTCGATTTCAATTTTTTTTTAATTCAAAGATGTACAATCATGTATTTGAATCCAATGAGTTTTATTATATGCACTTTAAAATACTACTTAATCGTTTTTAAGTGATATAACTATATTCTCAAATTTCTTGATGTATTTATTTCGGATTAAGGGATTAGCAGAACCAAAGTCATCTGTCATTCAAACGTTTCAGGATTCTTCCGGAAATATGTTGACAGAAATATTTAATAGGAAGTGTTTTTTAGTCTTGGGTTGCTATCGATTTTGGTTACTGAAGAAATTAAGGTTGGTGAAATAATACACTAATAACTGAGTGCATTCAGTTTTCATTTAAATTTACCTTTTTGTGCTACGCAGCATAATGTTTACATGTTTTGAAGCTAAAAGGTGTCTTGAAATGAAAATTTTTACCTTTTAAGTAATATGACTGGAAACAACAGAGTGTGTGTTATAATTATAAAAGGACGAGTATACTGCGCGGCAGTTCGTTCTGTTTTAATTTACGGCAGCGAAACATGGCCCTTAAGAGTAGTAGACACCCGTAAGCTACTAGTATTTGACCACAGATGCCTTAGAAATATTGCTGGCATCTGCTGGGATCACCGGGTAAGTAATAGTGAGGTTAGACGCTGGGTATTAGGGAATGATGGTAAATCAGTTGATGAGGTTATGAATCTTCATCGACTGAGATGGTTGGGCCACGTATTACGTATGCCTGAACACCGATTACCACGACGTGCAATGCTAACCGGGGTAGGGGATGGTTGGAAGAAAGTTAGGGGCGGCCAAACCAAAACGTGGCATCAGTCCCTGAAGTCACTAACTTCTAGTCTGAGCCATGTTGGTAGATGCAGACTACTTGGTTGGGGTCCGCGTGACTTTCGTAACCAATGGTTGGAGACTCTTGGGGACATGGCTCAGAATCGATCACAATGGCGTCGGTGTATACACTCCCTGTCTTCCCTTAAACTAAGAGACTAAAATCACTTCATTCTTTCTGTCTACGAACTAATTCTTTCTTCCTATACTATATCCTTATTGCAACCTTTGACCTAACCACTCCTATGAATCCGGTGTTCATCTTGCTGTGCTAATGAGGTATGGCAACCTGGACCGATGCACATATGTGCCTGGTCCTACGTTGTAGCTGACTGACTGACTGACTGACTGTGTTATAATTGTCGAGGACGATATTTTATGGGAAAGATTAGGCGTCATAAGAAATATAATAGGCAAGTCACTGGTATAGGAGTAGGTTGGAAGAAAGCTAGGGGCGACCAGACCAAAACATGGCACAGGTCCACGAAGTCACTGACAAGTGGACTGAGCCATGTTGGTAGGTGTAGACTACCTGGTTGGGGACCGCAAGATGATAGCAACCGATGGCTAGAGACCCTGAATGACATGGCTCAAAATCGTTTGCAATGGCGCAGGTGCATACACTCTTTGTGTTTTCCCAAATTTTGATCTTCTGATTCCTCTTTGTCTCTTTTTTTCTCTTCCCAAATTTATTTCACTGTATTATACTCTTTAAATAACATCTCCAAACACTAATCTTTCGGATTACTGCTTATACTCTTACTACCTCTACCACTATCGGGTTTGAATCGACCACTGCATCTGTGTGCTAATGTGGTATGACAACTCGAACTGATGTACGTACGTACGAAATTCTACGTTGTTACTGACTGACTGACTGAGACAAGCCATATACACCAATGTAGAACTTTATACCCGAAATCGCATCATTTCAAGTTGTCCTAATTTATGGTAGAACAAAGACAAAGCGTCGATGAAATGAAAAATAAAAGAATAGGTATCATCAAGGAATAATAAAAAAACGATTAATAAATGTGTTGAATAATAAGAAAATCCGGAAAAGGAAGTATACAATGTAAATATATCTGGTGAAGAATTAGTTTGATAACAGTTTATCGTCTCCTGTTTCTTTTGTGGCGTTGTTTCCACAGGTTCATTTTGAGTGCTCGAGCCGAGTAGTTTAGACATCTGACCACTAATTACTAATTTTCAGGTTTGAACTTCGGTCCACCTACATTTGTTTGAACAACCTAATAATATCATTAACCCTTACAAAAAAGTGTAAGACTTAAAATTAGCTATAGAAATTTCTACTTGGTTGCCCAATAACCAGATATGTTCTCAGTACTAATTACTTATAAAGCAGAGTTAACTGCTCCGGGTTCTCAAAATGGCAAAGAATACTTTTAGCACTGGATCAACCAAGAAATAAACGGAAACTTGTTGAAATACTATGTGATAAGGATTCCATATTGTACCAAAAATATAATATTGGATAAAGCTAATAATAATACTCCGGGACTCGAACCCAGTAACTTTCACTTCGATCATCGTCTCGTTTTCCACTTAGCTACTAAATTCAGATAACCAATCAACTGTGTATTTTTCATAGATGTTCTATTACCTATTTATTTTATCATACATGCCGTAGACTGCGAAAATCATTGGAATATTCCTTTCTGATTTTTTTTTCATAACTGATCCTGTATTCCACTTAGTATTATCATGTCATGGTTGGTTAATGAGAAATAGGAAGGTTGTATGTGATATTTCTTTTTTGTTAAGAGTAATGAATATGACTAATATCTTACACGATTCGTATATTTATTTGTACATTATTATTCAGATATATTCTATTAGTTTGGCATTACAACGATTATCCTGGACTAATTCTTCTACCAGATCAGCTAGTTCATTCGGGTAACCTCAATAATCCTGTTGTTTCTTATCAAGATTTTCATATTGGAAATGTGTACACATCTGAGTCACTTTTACAACTTCCTGATAATCAGTTGCAGGCTAAGTAGGTGTTGTTTATTTTATTCACGAATATACTTTTAGTTGTTCTTTTTTTCCGCCAAAACTGGGTAAAGAAAAGCATAGATGAGTTAAATTTTACCCCAAAATATGATATATCTAGGTTGTTTTACATTTTCAGTCACTTGAATATGAACAACTTCAGACAGTAAAAAACGATTTGAAGGTTTACTGTAATTAAATCTGTTTTTTTAGATTTTCACATATAAATATTTATTCTTACCGTCATCGTGGTTTATATTATATCTTCATCATCATGACGTCTAAAATATGTTATTTTGCTTCACTAAGCTTTTCACCCGAAAATCTATGATTATCTCGTCAGAATTTCATGTTTATGCCCTTACAGGTAGAACCTTTAATTTTTTCATGTTAATATGATAATTATTTATTTAAACTGTTCATATATTTTCTGAATAGTCTTAACTACACATTTTCTATTCCTAAATAAATAACCGTTATGTAACAAGAGAGGTATAATTCCATAATTTTCCCATTCCATTAGTTTAATGAATCTTAATAAACTATTAAACTTTTCTATGTTCATCCATCAACCACACATTTTGTATGAGGTTCCAGTACAAAAACTACTCAATTATCTAGATTAAATTAGATATCATTGAGCTCACTCATACAACCCAATCGTTGACCTATAGATTCTATTTTATTTCGTTTGGTAGTATATTCAACTTGTTTGGAATTTTTGAATATGACTGAATATGATGATATTTTCCATGGATTTTAATCTATTCCTCCATCCATTGAAAAATCAATTGGAATAATTTAATAAAACATTATACATATATATAGGAATTATACAACATTAAAACTAATATTTTTATTGGTTTTATGACAGTGTTCAAAGGGAAATACATAATCACTTAGATGAAATTAAACATAGTTTGGAATCGAAATATGCCAATAGTGTAAGTATTTTTCTTTCTTTTTTTTCATTTATCTTTCGTATTCCAAAGCCAGAAATGTAATAGAATTGACGATGAATAAAGTACTGGACAAAAAGCAGATTTGTTTCCAGTTAGAATATTTTATTATGATTAAAAATGTACACCATTTACTTTGATGCTATACGTTGATTCTAGCAGAAATAGATTGAGAAAAACTTTGGATAATAATATTGGTCCGTAAATTTTCCGAATGGTGACCTGAGCTGCAAATTTCTTTTATATATATGTATAGTATTCAATCTATGCTACAGTGTAATTCACTTAAGTTATACAGTGGAATCACTTACAAATACACGTTTAAACGGAATAGTGTTATCATCTCAATTAGTAATAATATCACTTTTCATTTAGATATTGATTGCTTGTGTTATCATAATGTTTAAGATGTTATTGAATTAGATAGTTTATAGAAGGTCAATATTCACTTACCTGTAATCCTTCTACAAACTAATTACATTATTTTCAACAAAACATTGTTTTTAAAGAAAATCATTCTTTTTAGAGGCGAAATAGCTTTACATGCAACTGTCCTCGACAAATCTCTTAATGGGTGTTATCCAACCCTTCAAACCATGAATTCTTATAACCTTTTATAGTATATCGAAAAAGAAGAAGTTGATCACTTTACAGATATATTTTGGTCTGACAAAGAATTCTTTCAAAATAGACTAACTAAACATGTATAAAGCTAATTTCAACCAGCTAACTAATGTTTTCAACATCACTAAATTATCAAGTTTAGCCGATACCTTTGCGAAATATCAGTGATAAGAGTTCATCGTATAAATTCATTAGTATAGTAGCTGTTAACAGTTATTTGGAAACACACACTCTCACAGAGCAATCCCGTGTTGTATACGTCAATTGTAATTGTTCAGTAATTGTAGTGACAGCTCTATGGAAACCAAATGTTAGTAAAAACAAGCTTAACTAATCCTCCACTTTTACCTTTGTTTTTACTGCATATATTAAAGTCTTGTTCTTCTGACTGATTTCTCATAAAATTGTAATGCTAAAATCATATACTGTTGAGATTTTTCTTGATTTTAACTCCTTTTAAAGTTAAATCATTTCATCCATGGTTCAACTAATCCCCATATTTCTATCAGTGAAAATACATCCATCGAATATTCAAACTGTTCAATCAAGTTATGGGATGCTCGTGCATCTCATTTCAGTTTGGTAGAGTCAAATTATATTCACTTCAATTTGTCAACTCCATACAAAGTAAGTGATTACCTATGAACATAAATTTTTTTCTCAATTTTATGCCATTATTTTAACAAATTTATTTTTAGTTGATACTTTTTTATCAATCAGAACCAGCTAAAGGCCAAATTAAATAACAAGATATTAGGTGGTTGGAAGTTGTTAGCAGGAGATTCTGAACCTAGATTTAATGCTAGTTGATACGTTAACGTATTCCATGTGATGTCAAGCTACCTAAATAAACCAGTAACCACATAACAACTTGATCTACAGAGGTCTATCATCAATAAAGGACTATATAGTCATGATATTGTCACTACTCAATGACCGATCAATTGTAAAAAATTAAAAACCAGGGAGTATTGCAAAATAGTTTTTTCTGTGACAGTTTTTTCAGTAATACTTTTCCTCATCATGTAGTAATTTATGCATTCGGCTATCAGCCGTAAACTTATTCTACTTTGTCTCAGTAGAAATTAGCTTCATTGGCATTCACACCAACTTCACTAGTAGCGTTTTATTTGAAACTATATATACCTATTGAGGGATTACATTTTTTACATTTTTGGTCCATAAGAAAAATCAAGACCTTAAGGTCACATGATAGTCGGCTGCTTGTACTGATGATTTAATGCTATATAATTCCCGGCGAACACATTTTCATATCATTTTTTATTGGCTAGTGGTGGAATGTAGTATGTGTTTTTCAGTCGACTTGAAACATGCCGTCTAGATATACATACATTCTAATAAATGTAGACGTTTTCAGTCACAGATCGCTGATTAGGTGAATTCCAGTTATTACTATCAAACAATTTTCCATGTTCATCATATTTTATATAACGTTACTACAGATATGTCACGTATATCAACTTGCTAAAGTCTGGTTTATTTACTTTATTGTAAAAGTAACTGTAAACGGACCCTCATTTTTCATTTTATAGAGTAACCTGGGTAACTATACGCGCTGTTCGATCAGTGGTTACTTAGTATTTGAGGTATGTATATTTTTATTCTTTTATTTTTAGTATTGGGGCTTTGTGGATATCATTGAATTTTTTTCTACAGTTCACACCACGAACTGATATTAGTGTATATATCTAACTTGAATCAGTTCGCGATACTGTGTGACCATCTTTCGTTGCATACAATCGATATGATGTGTCGTTGTGGGTTTTTCTTTTATATTCTTCTTTTTGTTAATTTCAGACAGCTCCAAATGTATGATTTGATAAATTTATTTTCACTGGATTACTTTTCTCCCCTTATTTGTTATTTCTTAATAAACTTATTTTAAATGACCAGCCTGCTAATGTTTCCAATGTGTCACATTTATGTTTATGATAAGTTGGTCCATGAAGCATCCCGTGTGCATCATTTCGTACTGACTTTTAACTTGATTTTTGATTATTCTTTCTCTATTTTTTCAGCTATAAAGCTAGCTGAATCAAAAGTGAACTTTCTCATGAGAACCACTGTTTTTTTTCAGAGACAATACATAATTATTTATCATGCCGTATCGCTATCATCCAAACGTATTTGTGAAAGTAAAACCTAATGGTCAGACGTACATCGTCTGAAAATATGACATTTTGTCTTAAAATGTGATCCGAAAAAATTTTGTTGATTTTACAACGCACTAAATGTTTCTCATAGCCCATAATCTGTGCAATTAATATACAGATTACAAATAGAAATACTAATTTGTGATTTAAACTTTTCTCTTAATGAATTCTCACTTTATTTTTCTTGTGAACAGTTCCAGCAATAACTCTCTCTGTAGTCCAAAATAACTTTGATAATTTTAAATCCTCATTTATTTTCTAGACTAGAAGTTCCGAGTTAACTTCTGAAACATCACATTGTGTAAGTAGGTTTAGTTAAAAATGCCATATAAATTAGTCGGATAAGAAATATTTTGGGAAAGTGATATCTCAGACATACAGTTCAGCAGGTAAACTGTACTAGTGAATAAATCTGTTTATAAATCTATAAATTTAATGGAATAAATAAATAAGCAAACAGATACACATTAACACGTATCCAATAAAAATGTACATCGATAAATAATCTGTGTTAATGTACAGTAATTAATGGGATATTAAGTAACACATCTAATGTACTATTGAAATTTGAGCATTACACCAGCTCAGTTAGGAACAATTATGAGTGAATGTGGGAGGTTACTACAAGATTTTTTGATGTATTTATTATGTTTGCTTTTTTTAAAAATGAAGAGTATTTAATACTCTTCATTATTGTCATGGATAACTCTTCTTTATTCTTTAACTTGATATGTATTTTGTTTATGTCTTCAAGTCAATCACTTGTATCATTTAGTTGACAAGTATTCATTTGAGAATATATGTATAGAATTTTGTTTTGGAATCTATTGCCTTGGTAATATCTTTGAAAATCATTTTAAATTGAATCAACCGAAAAACTACCTGTTCGTTTTTAATTATTAATCTGATTAACAATTAATAATGTGAAAACACGAAAAAAACTAATAGACTCTTACAAGTATTGTGGATGTTTTTTTTTCATAGATCGACGTTTCTTTCTTTTGAAATACGTAAATGATGCATAGAATTTAAGAAAAAAAAGATAAGATTTGAACACTGTCCGCCGTTAAAGTTTAGTTCCTATAAAAAGTAGTATTAAGAAATTTATAAGGAAGTTTTTCTGAACGATTAGTTGCTCAGTACTTGGGGTCGAGTTAATGTAATACATTAAGAAGAAAATTATGTTTATAAAACTTTCTGTAAATCAGCGTAAAATAAATTCAACATTTTGCTCATCAGTGTAATTCAGAATTTTTCATTTCCCTTTGAAATATCAATACCGATATATTTGTGAATTACTTGTGAAATGATAGATTATGTAATGTATCACAAGTGAATGTGACTATTTATTAATATAATGACTTTCATAAACAATAAAAAAGAAGACTCACATTCAGCCTTATCTAATCCTGAAAAATAGTTAAAATGTTGATTATGGGAAGTATTAAATTTACAAAAGAACTATTTAATAAACATAAAACTATTTCAATAGTTGAAATCATGAGTCAATTGAAGCTAGACCACCCTGGGAAACCTGGAAGCACTAGACAGCCGTTTCGTCCTCTTCAGTCTATTTGCGATACTGTATGATCATTTATTGCCACTGGTAACTACTGTTTTACTCCCGATGTGTTTGAATTCGAACAATCACGACTTCTCACTAGCACTTTAGGAAAATTACAACACTCATGTTCATACTATCCATAGAGTAATAAACTTGAATTAGTTTATTAATATTTACTACAATATATAACAGGTAATAAATAAATAATTTTCAGAGAGGGGTTTTGTGGATATTATAGTAATGTAATAGTTACATTCATGAGTCGGTCGAAGCTAGACCACCACGGAAAACCTGGAAGCGCTGGACGGCTGTTTCATCCTTTTGTGGGATTCCTCAGTAGTGCGCACCCACGACCTTGTCTCGCGGGATCCGAACCCAGAACCTATCAGTCCCACGCGCGAGCGCCTAACCATTAGACCACTAAGCCAGCATTCAACGGTGTTAATGTCTAACTTCAACGAGTTCACGAAATTGAGCGACACATCCACCATTGTCATCAGTGAGTTACTATATCACAACAGACCCGGTTAAACTTCGCTGGGGATCGTGGATGCCCACCACTGAGGAGTCCTATAATAAGAGGAATCTGCCGTCCACGTTTTCCATGATGGTCTAACTTCAATTGACTCATGATCTCAACTATTGAGATTAATACAATCTCCACAAAACCCTTTCTCATAAAACTATTATATATAAATTTGTTCACATTGTTTGTTTTAACAACAAAGATAACACTGAAACTTAAGTAAATTGTTTACAAGATATCAGAGGTTTTATACACAGCAATGATGAAAAGCAAAAGCAAAATATTATTACCAGAAAAATAACTAAAATTTGCATCAATGAAATTTTTACAGTTAATTACGTTTGATCATTGATTGTAGAGAATTTGCACATTACCAACATTATGAAATTCTATCATATATTATGTTGATTTTTTACATTTCTCAATAAATATAAAGCGGTTATCATTAGTTAATTAATTAAGCACATTGAGAATGATCAGTTTATGGGTTGTGGAGATTGTTAAGTTTTTTGATTGAGATCATGAACCGATTGGTGTTAGACCACCATCTTGAAAACCTGGAAGCACTGGACAGCCGTTTCGTCCTATTTGGGACTCCTCAGCAGTGCGCATCCACGATCCCGCTCGTGCGATTCGAACCCAGGGCCTTCAGTCTCGCGCGCAGACGCTTAACCTACTGGACCACTGAGTCGGCATCCAATGGTGTTAATGTCTAACCTCAACTAATCCACGAAGTTGTGCGACCATCTTTCATTGTACTGATGTAGACACCTATTTTTACCCGACACGGATTAGCTCCACTGGTCACGGCTTCTCACTAGAATTCCGAGAATTTTCTCACGAAGCTAGTCACTAGTGAACACATGGTAATTATCAGCTTAGGGGTTATGGAGATTGTCAAGCTTTTCATTGAGATCATGAAGAGTCCCACAATAGGACGAAACGGCTGTCCAGTGCTTTCAGGTTTTCAATGGCGGTCTAACATCAATCGGTTCATGATCTCAATCAAAAACATTAAGAATTGTCTACTATCTTACATGAACTTGAGTAGACGATTTTTTTCTTAATGTTTTAATACCAGTCAAATACTAATTCAAAATCTGTTGTAACCTACTTGTATCACAAATAGTGTGAAATAGGAATATATAAACTTATCATTTGGATACTATTGAGAATCAACTATTTTAAGGTTTAGTCTTAAATATGAATATTCCATATTTAGTTCGAACAAAACTATCCTATGGTTTATTCAACTAATATTGTGTCGTGACCAATATTATCTGAAATGACTATTTATTCAATATGTTTATTTACACAAACGAATCAATTGTATTCTAATTCAAACATATATATATATATATATATATATAATCTGCTATTTTGTCTTTATTAGCCAGCAGAAGGTTCACTTGTCAAAGATGTTATTTTCGATTTGTATAATCATGAAAGTAAAAAATTGAAATGTTCTTTAAAAAATCTAAATATATTTACTAATGAACAAAAATCTACACGAACATTTTACTTATGGATTTCTGAATCTGTTACATCGACATTAATTCCATGTATTTGTTTAGTCGATGTTACTTCACCTATAGAGTTAATTTACGAACAATTATTTGCTATCTCTTCAACATCAAATTTTTTATCTACTACTGGATTTGGTGTTTATATAATCATTGATCAAGGATTATTTTTTGATAGTAAGTTATATTAAGTAGTCTCGACTTTATACATATATATATAATGTAATTTTTCTTCACGGTATCACGCTACTACTATCTTGCATTATTTATTGTATCGTTATAATGTTTATTTATGTGTTAATCATTTGTTTATAAGTATGCTATTTGATTTGATAAAAAATAGTCTATTCTTTTGACTAGTGATCTTTCTTGTCTATTAGCTCAGTTCACTTAAGGATTGGAATCATTAATTGTGCCTCGTGAACAAACATTGCTTTGCTATATCGTATTATTGCGTTCATTTATCTATTGATATTTTATTTTATCCATTGTAAAAATTCGAAATTTTCCCATCGAATCATAAAATTACAATTCATAACACTTGATGATATTTACATTTTGTAACGTGCGAAGTCTTTAATCTATTTCAAGTATAGCGTTTTGATATTACCATGATCTACCAATAAGTAGTTAGTGATTTTGCATGTCATGTTTGATGTAACCGTAGGTGATAAGTGATTGATAACATGTTTTACCTAACAATGAACTATCTTTCGAAGTAGTAGTACATGTGGCACAAATTTGTTTTCCATTTTGTAGTAGAAAATATGTATGTCACAAACTTTATTAGAATGTGCTGACTGATACCAGATAAAAGGTCAAAGAAGTAGCAATGGATTTATCTCGATAAAGATGGAGGAGAATACCAACAATAATATCCGTTCAGTTAAATGAATTACCATATTTTACAAAACTGTTGGTTATTATTCACTTTATCGACTTACCATAATCATACATCGTAAGGAACATTTACAAACTCGAAACCTAAAATGATAATGAGATGAGTGAGGAATAAGGCTCTCATATTTACCTTACATTCTAACAAATTATTTGTAGATTATATTTAAAAATATTGACTTTATGATGCTCTTTAGTTGGAAAAGATTGTATACTTACTAACTGTCGATGTGATTCTTACATTCTGTGATTACTCAAAGAATTGAGTGTGATCAAACAACTTTTTCAGATGTGTATAGCCACCACTCTAATCTTGGTAAAAGACTATCAGACTATAAACAACTGACTAATCCTCATTTATTAAAATAGGCGTGTCATACATGCATTTAGTATAAAAGAAAATAAACAAATGTCCAAGCAGTGAAAGTCCTGCAATGTCTAAATAAATCCCTGTTTATCGTATCCAACTTACACGTTCTTTTGTAATAAACTTGTTTACATATATACATCAATTGTTACAAATATAGATTTTGTTCAGTATGAGAATTAAAAATCGTCTTACGACGTTGCCTTTCGTTTACTAAAATAATTCCCTGGTACTTTAGAAGATGGAAATTAACTACACATTTAAATGATTGAACATATTCTTCCGGACTTTAATATCACATTTTTTAATGATAATGTTTAATCAAACTTTTGCTCAGTTCGCCTTGGTTAAATGTAGAGCATTACAATCCGAAAGATATTGTCATCATCGGAAGGCAAATAATCTCAATGGTTCTGATGGTGATATTTTCAGAAGAAATCGTCGTATACTTTATTAAAAACAAACCTTGTCAACATTTTAAATGATATAAAAGGAAACATGTAGGAACCCCATAGATCACTTAATACAAATAATTTTATTTTTATTTGTGGACCTTAAATTTATAAACTATGAGAATTTTTATTATTCTCTTTTTCATATAGGTTTCATTCTTCTAGATCGTTTTACGTCACTTAAGACTGAGAATTATTCTCAACATTCTTCATCGATGTATGCTTTAAAAAATTCTCTCTCCAAACAGATTTATTCCAACTATATTTTATTAGTCACTTGAAGATGTGAATAAGTTACGTGTTCATCAAATTGTTAGTTTTTCAGGTAGGAATATTTTTGTTTCCTTTTTGCTCTTAACCCTGTTCTTTTTTTAAATTTCATGTAATTGTCAATACACGCAAAGAATTAGTGGTCGATTTTTCTAACTTCCCCTTACTTCCAAACAGGATCAATTTGAGAAAATCTCATTCACTTTACATACACACCTCCAACATCATTCTTATTTTTATTAACTACTTCCTTTTCTCTTTGATTGTTTAACTTAGTTTCGCCAAGTTTCCTCCCATTTCCTACCCCGTATATAGGTAGACTTCAATATTCAACCTTGCGGAATATAGTATATGAGATCTAAAATCATACGTTAAATCGCATCTTCGGACTGTCAGTGTCTTACACTATGGCTTATTTAATTATATGCTTCACTAACTAAGATTCTTTATCTTTATCCATGTTCTTAGGTATATAGGCATACTGATTCTTGAAAACTAAATTCTGTACATATTAAAAAGAAATTACTAATGTCCTGATATTCGCTACATTTTAGAGTAAAATCGTTTCAATGTTTATGGATGTTATATTACCATCTTCCTATACGTTCGTTTTAATGAACATACATAGACATTTAAATGGATTAAGTATAAGACCATTACCAACAGATCAACAATCAATACAAGACAAAAAATCATCCATTTCTATGGGATGTAAAGAGGAAGAGATTTGCATACATACAATGAGATCATCCGCATATTTCACAAAGGTGTTTTCTGTGGAAGATGGCAGATCATGCAGAAAAAAAGAGAAAAGAAGAGGTGAAAGAACAGCTCCTTGTGGTACACCTTGGTGAGACAGTAGACTCTGAACACTTTCCTCCAAATACAGTGTACTGTACCCTTCCAGTGAGGTAGGAACATAACCAGTTTGTTATCCAGCGGTCAGTGTTGAGGCTGATTAACTTGTTAAGTAAACGTTGTCTTGGTATAAAATCAAAAGCTGAAGTATAGTCCAGAAAAGCGCATCGAACATATTTCTTACCCTTTTCTAAGTTGAACACTATATTGTGATACAGAACAGCAACAGCATCTAAGGCGCTTCTTTTGCATCTGTAAGCAAACTGATACGGATCAGTGTGCTTATTTATCGAAGATGGGAGTGGAAGTATAAATAATTTCTCCATTGTTTTGAGGAAGGGTGAAGTTATTACAATAGGTCTAGATTTCACATTCTTATCACCAGATACTTTCTTTGATACAGGGATTATCTTCATCTTTCTCCACATTTTCGGTATGAGATTAGACGAGAAGGATCTGTTAAGGATAGTCGTCAATGAATAACATAGGACGTCAGCATACTTTTTAAAAAGGAGGTTTGGGATACCATCAGGTCCTAATCATCGGGATGAATTAAGTAACTGGAGACATCCTCGTACATCAGCTTCAGTGAAACTAGGAACACGGCCATTCTTTAAACCTGTGGATGAAGGAAGCATTACATCAGATGACTGACGTACAAAAGACTTAGTTAAGTCACAAACATTCAGCTGGTTATCGCTCCTAATGTGTTTGTCACCTGTAAGTTCTTTATAGAGTTTCCACATACTTGAATAGTTTTTACAAGACACGAGTTTTTGAGTAAACATAAAGTTTTCTAGGTCTATTAGGTCATTTAGCTTACGAACTTTACTAGAGTTTTTCTCCTCGTACATTCTTTCTTTCACCCTACGTCGTCGTTTTAGTTGTGAAGATGTAAGTCGATCAAAACTTACAAAAATGGTTTCAGTGGGACAGCAAATATCAAAACAGAATTTAAGCTAACAAGTGATAACATCAGTAGTGATTTCCAGTGTTTTATCTGTAAATAATTTCCAGTTAGTCGTATGAAACATGTTTTTCAGATTTCGGATATTTTCTTCTGAGTAATTCCTATATTTGATGTAAGAGTGTACTCTTCCCATGCTTTCCATATACTTTATGTAGAACACGAATTATACAGTGATCCGAGCTAGACAATGGAGCACGTTTACGAGTCACCCACATCATTAATGAGAACAAAGTTTAAATGAGCATCCAAACGAGTAGGAAAATCTACTACATTTTGGTGACCTAGTGACGTAAGGAAGCTACAGTCACATTAATTGAAGTCACCACATACAACTGATAGTGAATTGATGAAGGCAGTAACAGCGAACTCAGTGAATTCATCAGCGAAAACAGATAGCGCAGATGATGTGCAGTCTGGTAACATAAACATATTTGTATTTATTCAGATGTTTGGACTGGATCTTAGAGTTAGTCGATAAAGTCATTTGAAAACTTCAAGCACGCAAACCCAGATCGACACCAGTTCACGTTTACAAATGTAGCTACACCGCCGCCACACCTCTTTTTATTGTTTGATCGATCCTGACAATAAATTTTGAAACCAAGTAGTGATACTAGGCAGTCGTTCTGTAAATCACTTAACCAATATTCTTGAATTGTGATGACACCACAATTATGATACATATTTTGACTTAGTAGGAATTGAAGATAGTCCACGTTGTTAACTAGTGATTGGCAGTTAGAATTTAAAAGCTCCAGGATCGACATACGAATAATGTCATTCTCTTCAACGCATATTGCCAACCACCATGATGTCTTTTATCGTACTTCTTTGCAACTTGTGCAGCGAAAGGTCGTATGCTTTTCATAAACACGCCTGTATAGGTTATGCGACTGATGGACATAATGAGACGTTAAAACAAAATGAAAAAAAAACATAACTTGCTGAAATAATTAGATGGCAGAAACAGGTAGCCCAGATATTCAAGCAGGCCGCCGTTCAATATTTGCCTTATAATAAATTGTGCTAAACTACAGCGTGTTTTCTAATCGATACTTTCTTATTCTTCTATTTGTTTACAGAATTACCATTTGCTTATGTATTCCTAAGCTTCTAATAGACAATTCAATCCTAATATTATGGTTACAGTAGTTTGTTATGATAGTAATGATAGTAGTTGTTTTCTCAGTAGGAAATTAACCGTTGTGATACTGTTTTAGTCTGCCCTTTTCCATTCTCTACACATATCTGTTATCGATTAGAACAAAAATCAATGCCGATTAATAATTATCATTTATTATTCATGAATATTTCTAATCTTAAAGTTTCATTGCCTCCTACGTGAATTTTTTTCAGTTTTTATTATCATATTTTCATTATCATTATAATATGTTGATAAATTATGCAGGTACATTGATCCATGTAGATACAAGTCGATCACATGTTTGGTCTATTTGTCCTTATTGTGCATGCGCTGATTTTGAAATATATTCTGGTGTTGATAATAAAGTCAAATATTTTTCTAAACAAGAAAATTTGAAATGTGTCCGATGTTTAGCGCTTTTATCAAATCCTCTTGAACGATTGGAAACAGAAGTACAAGTTTTAATTAATTTTGACAACGATCAATCCACTGTTAATAAATTGAAAAGACATAAATCGTCTGTAGAATTGACACTAAATGTAAGTAATCATTAGTTGTTGTTTTTTTAGCTTATTAGTGTAATACTGTAACTAAGTACAGATTCATGTACTCAACCCGAAGATATGGTCGATGGTTGATAGTTTCCGGGTACATAAACAACAGTTTGAACAATAAGTAAAATTAATAAATGTTGAAACACGAATTTTATTTAAGAAAGACCTGTGACTAAATATATATAGTTATGTAGTTGACTTTTAGCTGAAATGTGCTAACTGTCCAATTACTCAAAACAAAATAGATTAAAACTTGAGATCCAGTGACTAAAAGTTGAATACTTTATTCACTTCTTGGTTATTCTTTGCAGTTTTATTTTTATTTTGTATATGATCTAAATAATTAATTAAATTAATGGAGTCGACATTTATAGATTTCCTGAAATTATCTTTTCTCTATGTCAATTCGCTATTTCACGAGATACAAAAATTAGTCGGCATCCAAACATAAAATTAGGTTTTGTGAATTTAAATGGCTCTATTTCATTTTTATAATTATCATCTGTCTGTAGAACTGTCAAATTTAGAATAATACTGATGGTTTTCTTTATCTTATTTTTCTCCTCATTTTTAGTCAACGTCTTTTCTCTGAAAGTAACACGGAAGTCGGTCTGTATTTTATTTGAGGGAAATGAGTAGTTTCCTAAGTTACTAATAATATCTTTATTGATGCATTAGTAGTATTGGTGGTATCAGTAGTAGTTGTAGTAAAAATGCTGAAAAATTGGAACGCCTAGTAATATTACTCATATTCATTGACAGTTACCCGTTTCATCTCGTAATTAAGAACTATGTTTTGGATATATATATAAAGTTTTATTTATAAGTATCTGTACATTTTAAGATATTGACTTAAAAATTATAGATATAATACATTGTTCCTTTCAGTTTATTAGGCATTCTGTTTAAGTCGTATTGTTAGATTAAGCCTTGTTGGCAGGTACAGATTTACTTGATTATGGCTTACACCTTTACCGTTAATCAGTGGTTGAATATATTGGATGAAATAGCTTGGAATCAATCATCGTAGCTCATATGCACTCAGTCTTTGTCCCCCCCTTCAATCATGAGTTTCAAAATTATATTTCTAATGATGAATATAATCCTTATTTTACAAGTTCACTCTTCCTTATTGAACCATATTTATGCCTATTCTTTTTTTACTACCATTGATTTTGTTATTATTTCTACTACTCCGAATTTATCTTGATAGTTGTGTCTTACTCTTCTGATATAGTGTGGCGATTTAAATCGATGAACATACGTACTAGGTTCTACTTTGCTTATGACTGACTGACTAATTAGATTTATGAAGTTATAACAACTTTCTATTATACAGTAAATCGGTGTTGATTTTTTACTGCTGCATTATTTTGTATATTTGATTGTGTGAAATTTTCATCTTATGCTTCCATTTATTATTATCATCATCGTTCCCCTTTATATACTTACTTTTTATGCTAAACTTTACTTTCAGATGGCCTCTTGGAGACTTTGCAAATTACTCAATGTAACACAATCAAATTTGTTGAAGGTATCCTATTGATATATCTTATTTGCTTCTAATAATTTATACAGATGTCAGCTAATAGTAAATAGTTAATTAATATTGAGTAATTGACAAGCATTGCTGACGATCCTTGTCATATATATATATATATATATATATATATATCAGCAACCTCAAGAAAGACAATATCTTTCTTAAAGTTTAAAACCTACATTGCTTATCATTTCAGCCCATTGATTCACATAGTCACATCAGTTCACGAGTTCAATTGATTCAAGTGAGATATAGTCAAGTTAATTAAAAACCAATTCTGATTTGTTACCACAAGAAACCATACGAGTAGAATTTTAAAATTACACTTGCACTGTTGACATCTTATTTAATCGTAACTGTTTCACTACTTTTATAAATCTTTTCGTCCTAGTGTTAACTCTGTTCATAACCAGGAACATTGTCTCTTAGAGATTGTAACATCAAATATTGTTCTACGATACTATGTTAATGTTTCGAATCATCGTTGATAAAATCGCTTTTAATCATCAAACCTATATTTATTTAATGAAGATTAGGGTGTCCATCCTAAAATGTAAAGCTCTAAGTGTACAAAACAAGTTCATTGAGTTTCTATATATAACACGTGTTTTTTTTCACCAAGTGATGTAATCTTATAATCTTATAATAATAATCATTGGATAGTATACTTTTCAAAAATGTCTGAATTTCGGAGAATAACTTCAAATTAAGAAGTTTCTTTTAAAGTTCTAATTCACTAAAGTAATTTGAGAGGAAACTTATTCAGTTGTGGTGTAATCTTTGTATGGAAGAAATGTTTCTCTTCAACCATTAATTATTGTTATCAGAGTAATAAGATTCTAAATTTATTGTTTCACTGAATATTTTTAGTTAAGTTCACAAATACTTAGTACTAGTGTTTTAATGTTGAACAAAGTAATTTCCAGTCATGTTTGTTTGACAGATTTGAGTTGTTGTTTAGAATTATCTTCGAATTAACTAAATTCCAAATATTATTAAATTCAATGCTTTCCCCTTGTTTATTATTGGTCAAATCTTACAATTTCTGAGTGGGATATCCCATGAAGGTCTCTACACTTTCCTTTGTAATATTATTATTGAAGGATAATTTTTTAAAGATTATAGAAGATAACTAAATAAATAATTTTACAGAAATAATAATTATGTCTCAGCCATAAGTAATACTATTGATGGCACCATTTTTATTTATTTATTTATTTTAACACATAGATATTGGTACAAAGAGACACCAAACATATATGCGCCACACAAATCTCATTTGATATGTATGAGGGCTGTGATACTGCTTGGGTGCCCAAACCGAAGCAGGTGGTTTTCTTAGGAGACAACACCCAGAGCCTCCGACCCAAAGGTCTGATCCACAAAGCAGTGGGGCAACATAAGGAGATGCAGTCCCATGGTAGCCGGTGACCAACGATCGGTTCATACGCCATTTGTTCCCTCAGAATCCTGGAGTTCATGTGCACCATTGGTTTGAAATGAGGGTTTTCCAACTCATCTAGGTAGACTCTCCGTGTCCACCAAACAGGTTAAAGCGCCGGGCATTCGCTTTTCGTCCTCTCAGTTTCGTAAACAACAGTGATGCTACGAGAAGGCAGTGAGTAGGACCTCCCTGCCAGAGGCTTTATACGCGTGGCAATGTGAGAGCATTTCGAGAGGGAGAGTGGACTCTCATCACTCTCGGCCATACCAGGGCATTTGGGGGCTATGGTAACATGAAGAATAGAATCATACTACTGGGTTCTTATAAATTAGAGTCACATGAGTTTCTATGTTGTAAACTCTAGTGCTGTAATACTTCATAGTTAATTCACATATTACTCGAAAATTTTTAAAATTGCATCTGTAGGACTTACTTGTTGGCTTATTGTTCATCACTATATTCTGTAATTTTATGTGGCACAATGATTTTTATTGATAGAAATCTTTCCAAGTACCTAAATAGATGCTTTTCACGTAATATAATGATTATATATGACTTTATCAATTAGTACTAATAATGGTCTGACAAATCGACCTGTACTTTTTGTTCATTAAAAGGAATGTCCCTATATTATCTAATATAAAGAACCTAACAGATACTCAGATAAGAGTATGTGATGCTAAAGTGTATAGTACCATGCTAGTAATTGTCTTCAGCTTAATTTTTAATTTGTTTATAGTAAAAGCAAATTTTCTTAATGAAATTTTTCAATTAAGTAGTCTATTAAAATTCTCTCAAAATCTTTATTTATACTTATTTATACAAAACTTGCTTTCTCTTCAGGGATCGGGCCTCAATGCACAAAAGTTAGTAAATTGTCATTTAGACAATGTAATTGGAATAGTTGTGCATATACCAAACAAAGTGTTTACAGTTGATAATGTACAAAAATACAATGGTTATTTGAGAAATATTTATGTTATCGAACTAGATCGAATGGAGAATGGCAATAAAATGCTGTAACTATTTACAATGACTTTATAAATCACAATCGTTATTAGTGTTGGCTTTTCAAGTGCAGTTAATTACCATATGTGATACATCGTCTATATTTGTCTCGTGATTTATTTATATCATTCAAGCTAACAGGAACAGAGAATTAAAGATAAACATAAACAAACAATTTTCCATCATTTGTAAATACCTTTTTAATTTTATAAATTTCCTTACAGAATACTATTTTGTGCAAAAATACAAGTTGTTTGTGTGTTTTCAATTTTTTTTGTTGTTAAAGAAAATTAGATGACGGATAGTTGACTGAAGTTTTAAGAATGAAGTGGGCTTTTTATTTTATTCTATCTTGAATTCATAAAATGATGCTGATACAAATAAATTACTGTGAATAAAAATTGTAACCTTGGTTACTAAACTTATTATTACTTTAGGCATATTGCTGAGTTTTCTATGGTTGATTTTATTAAACTTCTCCGTAATGTCTCCAAAAACAAATGTCTTCATCCTGAAATAAATAGGATTTGTAATAATAAATTTTATCTAATTTTTATCTAATCCAATCCAAATGAATATTGAGAACTTTTTAAGTTTTGAACATCGAAACTATGTTATTCTGTAAATCCTTTAACAGTACTGTCCTATGGAACTAAATTCAGAACTCGGATATGTCCCATCGTAAGTTAGTTATTACAAATTCGGTCAATCTGTTATCTCTTGCTGAGATCAACGAGCACCACAACTTGAGAAAAAACATTTATGAAGTCCTCATCAGTGTTTACATTTCCAACCTAAAATCAAATATATTAAATTATTTTAATGGTTATCTCTTAAAACAACATAGTTGTTTATTAAATTTATATATTAATTTAAATACTCTTAGAAAGTATTTTCTTTTGGTTCCGTTGTCTTCTTTTATTCGTTGGTTGAAAGTTCTTAAGGTCTGTTGGTTAAGTAGACGTTATTATATTTCTTTTCATGAAAAAGAAGATTCACATATTTTATGATTTTTATTATCATTGTTTTCTTTTTTTTTAAAATAACTATCAATCATTGCTTACAAAAAGCTTGTGACTTAAGGCAATATCGAGGCATACGCACAGTATGCACATATGCCAATAACAGACTGATCAGTTGCAGTCTTAAACCTCAATGGGAAGATACAAGCCAAACAATACCAAGTGAACTTATCCTGATATTTTATTACAGGACTTCTTAAATATTCATTGATAAACTGTCTTAAAACATTAATTAATCATTTGTTTGTTGAATTAATGAGTCAATTGAAGCTAGACCACCATGGAAAACCTGGAAGCACTGGACGGCCGTTTCATCTTAGTGTATAGACGACTCAGTGTTCTAGTGGTTGGACGCTTGTTTGCAAGACTGGTAGGACGTGGGTTCAAATCTCGCAAGATGGAATCATGGATGAGCACCACTGAAGAGTCCCATACTAGGACGAGACGGCTGTCCAGTACTTCCAGGTTTTCGATGATGGTATAGCTTCAATTGATTCATGAATTCAAAAATTAAATCAATTTCCCGTATTTTTTCTTCATTTCCTAATTTCATGTTTTATATGAATATATTGAAACTTAGGTCAAGTTAATTCAATCTATTTTCAAAGGATATTAAGAATAAATTTCATTTCAGGGTTAGCGGTACCAAATCTTACTGGGATTTTCGAAATTTCTGTTTACTTTATCTTAATAATAGACCAATGAATACGTAGACAATAATAGTTCTAAAGAGAGTAAGAACAAAGGTTGGTGCAGAATAATATGAATTCATTTTATTTCGTTAGGTTCTCATCAGCTGCTTACAACCTAAAATATTTGAAATTCAACGTTATTATAGTTATTGACATACTTATACAACAGAGGGCGATGAAGGATGAATATATGTAACATAATGTGGTAAAGATTTCGTTTGAGTTAATGAGGTCATAATAGTTCTGATGATCTTATTTTATTATATTCTTCAAGAGTTCTTACGTTATTAATAATTTTAATAAACAGCCAAGTGTTAGACGCAATAATAATATGTAAAATAAACAAATAATTAACACAGTGCTCATGGTTGTTGATGATGTCGCTTTATGTTTGAAGCCTACTTTTGTCTATTAGGAGTACTAAGTGTAACATGAATGAGTTTATTTATTACAAAAATGTTATTTACGACCTGGAAAATTGAAATGTTCACTCCTACGCTTATTGAGTTAACTAAAATGTTATTGGTTAAAGCTGAAGACAATGTAATTGTAGGTTTGTCGACGTAGTAAGTATAACAAACAGTTTAAAATAGAAGTTACAGGTGATATATTTACTAAAAGTTAAAATCTTTATTATTTATAAGTGATTAACATATTAACCTTGCACTAAAAGGTTAGATGTATTAAACTTGGAAAATTATAATACCCAATACTGAGATGATAGTATCCGTGTACTGTATAACTACTAAGCGATATTGTAGTAAACAAGAACATGAGTGGGGCCAATCGAATGTATTTGACACGAAATTACAGAGCAAATTACTAAAATCTGAGAACCATATAGTATATAGTTAATTTGCAAAATATCAATCCATCGTCTCAAACATGACTGTTCCTTTTGCGAATATCTGTCCATTGTCTCAGATTTCATTGTTCATGCATTTTCATACCAATCGCATACGGTTTCCGTTCTTTCCTTATCGATCTTCTACTGAAATACATTCTATACCTGACCACCGTTTTGTACTACTTATGTGAATATAAGTAACCCACATCTCAATGTGATTATCAGGGTGAGAATAATATTGTTGACTTTCAGTTTCTATGTATATAGATATGGTCTGAGTTACGACATCAACCGCCTTAGCAAATTCGAACTTATTTCTCGAACTTTTTGAAAGCTGATATTAATTGGTGAAACGATCTATTTATTGACTAACTAATATTTTCCTTTCAATAACGTCTGCATACTTATAGATAAGTGGTGGTGAGACTCAGAAAATTCCTAGAAAAGCCAAATAGGGCTCTGAGGAACGATAGCTTTTCCAGAAACATCTAGAAAGTGAGAAGTCGCATGTCGAGTTTCTGTTTGGATAATTACTTATACTGCTACTATGTCTAGTAGCGTTCCAGAAGCCCAAGGCCACTTGAAATGCTATAAATACCCTAAATTTTCTGTACATAAATAAAACTTGGAGTAAAGCTTTTCTTCCATATTTCACGCCTTTTCTCTCGTGTTCAACTGGCCGTGTAGATTAGCCTGGGGGTGTTACCAGAATAGCTTAGAAAACAGAACCTAGCGTTCAATTAGAAGATTTATCAATAAGATAAAAAACTGATATTTCCAGTATGACAGAAAACATCATCATATTGATTGTTTCTATAATACCAAACGTCAAATAAACCAGCAATCCTGCTGAAATCCGAAATATTTTCTTTGTGATCAAAGTATTAGTTGAAATAATCAGTAACTTATAAATAGTGAAATCAAGCGTTCAGAAGGAAAGTAGTAGTGAGGTATATTATAGTAAGGTCTGAGATAAGTTAGTCATCATAATTTGGTTGGCAAAGCACTTTGTCCAAAGTCATGTTGTTAAAATAGTGAAAAGTCAATCTTTTGGAAGATTTTGCATCAAAGCCTTCATATTTTTTGAATTTATCTATATTACTTAATACATATTTATATACACAGTAAAAGATATGAATCTTTGACTACTAAAATGTCAATGCAGATTCAGACAGACAATTTAATTAATTCTTCCCGATGCATAGACGTAGACGATGACAATATTTGCACGACATTTTGAGTTACAAACGAATTCACGTGAGATGCCTAATATCGTTGTCCACTGCCTTACTGAATAATCTAAAAGAATGCACTCGTTAGTATGTTTATATTTTAAATTTATACCTTTCATTAACGAACCACCTCCACGCAAGTGAAAATTATAATAAGAGAATAGTAATTATCACCCACTGTTAACTGATCTCGATTTTCGATATTCCAAAATAGTTAACGAAACAAGAGAGTGGTGGAATTTCTGTAATCAGAATAATGAATTTCCATCACTGATTAACTAAAACTACTCTCTAATTACATGTATTGTTCTTCTATTTACTGAGAAGTTATATGACCACTAAAGATACTGTTTACAGATAAATCTACTTGAAATGTTCACTTCTTTAGATCCCACTTTATTTCAACTTCTTTTAAAGGGAAATGATTATTTGATTTTTATACTCAAATGACTTCGGAGATCTTATTCTGTTTTAAAATTACAAATATTATATGTGTTTGTTGAGAACATTATAGAAAAGTTGTTTTGATTTGCTTGAAATAACTCCATTTATAAAAAAAAACAGTAATTTTTACACATGACTTAATTTGTCATGACCTAGATTTTTGTTCAACTTAATTAGATATTTATAATTCCCATGACTGATTATCATCTTGTCAATTTACATAAAAATGATTCAAATTTTTAATTACGCGCATTTATCTGGATTGTTCTGCTTATGATGCTTGTGAATTAAGACAATATCAAGGCAATACGCATAGTATGTACATATGCCAATAAGAGACTGACCAATTGTAGTTCTTAACATCAGTGGGAAGTTTCTAGTAAACAATACCAAGTGAATTTAAACTTCACCTCATTTCACAAGCAACTGACTATCAGGACTCAGTACGTAAATGAATAACGCGATGGCGTTTGAAGCGAATGGTACTGGATTCGAGTCCCATAGTGAACATCAATTCCGGAATGCGGGTATATCCAACTGACGAGTCCAAATAGGACGAAACGTGCGTCCTGGAGTTCACTGTTAGCCACTATCCATCTTTGCTTATAATGTTTATCAATTGCAGTCTTAAACATCAATGAGAGGACTCAAGTAAACAATATCAAGTGAATTTAACATTTATCAATGTTTTAAGGAAAATTGTTATCATATAAAATATGAACTAAATAATATCATTATTTGGAATACAAACAATCTTTTAATAGGCTACTTTGAACTT